TATATATATATATATATATATATATATATATATATATATATATATTACATGTCTGAATCCAGACTGTATAATACGAACCCAATCCATGTTTTATCCAGTGAAGCAACGCCAGGCCCATTCACAACGGACCAACCAGGTGAATGTTCACTTCTACTCCGTAAGGAAAGGCTTCAAATGGCGCACAGCAGCGATCAGGGAAGTTCACTTCACAACATATCATTCGTTGTACGATGTGATGGTGGCACCCTGACAGCTCTGCGGCCTTGGCCACTTGGATTGCTGGGGCTCGGGGGATTTTCCTCATTCACGATCGCACTGTGGTTTGTCGCGAACACACACGAACACTTTTTCGTGCACAGTTCCAAGATGAACAGTATCCTTCTTAGCTGACCAGATGTGTTTCTTAGAAGAACCAATAGGCCTTATTCACCTGAGCTACACGCGCTTGAGTGTTTCTTTTATTCCATCACAACAAAATCCACCTTCAACTAGGGGACTCAGGTACATTGGTTGTGCTAGGTGGAACAGAGTAGTGACATCAAACAGCCGGAGCGGGGCGGGGGGACAAAAAGGGATGGGAGAAGTTTTGTAAAAAGTACGAAGCTACCGAGAAGAGCAATGCACAAGAATGCGCGGTCATTTCAGTGAGTCAATTTCCGACCAAAAAATAAGATGGAAAAGAGAAAAGTAGGGACTCTAGACAAGACCCAGGGATTTGGCCAAAACGAATTGGATGACTGGGCAACAACAGATTGGAATAATGACTAAGAAGTGAGACGTATGGTCACAAGAGTCGACATTATCACATGATAACCACGTACTCGTCAATACGCGAGAACAGACGGGCAACACGTTGAGAACGTCGTACAAGTGCAGTCACATCGCGCGAGATAGACTCGATATGTGACCCTAACCGAGTGATGGGAGAATCGTCGGTGCCGGGCCCAGTTGGTGCTGAGGATGGACTAGGCTCGCAGTTGCCGAAGTACGCATCCTCTGTGGAAGCGACTTGTTGCGCAAAGCTTTGCTGTTCCGCCAACACAGTGGGAAAACTATTTCGACGCTTCACCGTAGACCAAAATCGGTCTTTCCAACTCCAGTTATGAGAATGTAACGTTGGTGTGGACAG